GGGTTAAATTCTTTTTTTTTTTTTTTTGCTCATATGTGACCCAGATCTGTCCTCCTCCCCCCCCTCATAATAGTGTGAATGCTCCAAACACATGGAATCTGATCTTTTAGATTCTGATTTGGGCCACTTTCATATGTGGTACTAAATCAGATACAGGTCTGATGTTTTGCAATGTGACCTCAATCTGAACAGTCTTATGGTAATTCATGCAACTTTTACATCACTCTAGATCAACATTCGTCCCAATTCTGCATTGATGGGAGTCACTCCAATGTTTTTACATAGTGGTAGTTCTTTGGTCACTCAGTTAATATGAGAAGCAGCCATGATGGTAGTCAGTCGAGGGACAGTGAGGTGTGAGTATTACAGCGACAGCTCTATACAAGCAAAACTTGAGGAATTGTATTGTAAATATTGATCTCCTCATATCTCCTCTTTGTCTCGTTATTGCCTGTGTTCAAATTTGCTGGCTTCCATGGCACATCCCCTTACAAACGCACATGTAAACATTGACTTCAGTGGCTTTTTGTTTGTTTGTTTTGAGCATACAAGACAGTTCAGGACTGTGATCAGCTCACACTCAAATCTGATACTGGCCACATTTCAAAACATAATGTCAACGGCCAAACAAAAATGTAAGCTTCACCACCTCAGTGGTTCTGGGTGTCCTGTGATCTCCTGAAAATCAGTCATGTGAAGTGTAAACTTTGCATAGTGATATTTATACATCTATCAGCAGATGGTCCAGACCACTGTTCCAGCGAGGACAAACACGTTGCCAGCTCACACCCGGAGGACGCCCGGCACAGATGAGGGAAAAAGTGTTAAAAATTAATGAATGACCTCGAGGACAGTGTGTTATAATCCTCCACGCTGAAGTCGGCCTGATGTTTTGTTAGCATGATGGTGCCATTTAGACGCGTTGTTTGTGAAGCAGGGTCGCGGGTGTTCTCTACAAAAGGCTTTTAAAGATGTCTCTGCTCGATACAAGGTGGAGGGAGATGAAAAGCAGACTGTGATTCGGAGTTTGGCCCCTCAATTAGCACCCAGCGGCAGCTCTCAGGGTATAAATAGTCTTTAGGCTTTGAAGCCCTTTCTGACGCCTCATCTGATATCAATGCTTCCAAATGGTCACGCATTGTGCCGGGCCAACGGATAAAAGCAACAATAAAACACCCCTCATTCTCCACAAACTACCTTTCAGCTGTGGGTTGTAAATAACAGGCACTAATGTCACCTACATGTCAGAGGTGATGAAAACAAGCTGAACGTGGCTATAATCTTCAGCTCTCCATTAACTCCGATCCTCTTTGCTGTTTTGGAATAAAGATGATCTGGAGAGTGCAATGGTTCAAATATGGCAACAGGAAAGCGTGGAAACCAAACTGTATATCAGCGCCTATTCTGTATGGGAAGCGTTTGGCGCCTCATGATTCAGATTGAATTCAATTCAGTTGTTTTTACATCCAAGAGGTTCGCCAATCAAAAGAGGGTAGTTTACATATAAAAACCTTAAAGGTACACTACCATTCAAAAGTTTGGGGTCTGAAAGATTTTTTTATGTTTTTGAAAGAAGTTTCTTTTGCTTACCAAGGCTACATTCATTTGGTCAAATATGCAGTAAAAACAGTAATATTGTGAAATATTATTTCAGTTTGAAATAGCTGTTTTCTATTTTAATACATTTTAAAATGTAATTTATTCCTGTGATGCAATGCTGAATTTTCAGCATCATTACTCCAGTCTTCAGTGTCACATGATCCTTCAGAAATCATTATAATATGCTGATTTGCTGCTCCAAAAAAAATTCTTATTATTATTTACATTTACTCAACTCAAATCAAACTTTATTTATAAAGCACTTTCAACACCACAACTGGAACCGAAGTGCTGTACAGAGAAAGATAAGGGGGAAAAAAAATAAGAATAATAAGAATAATATAAAAACTAATTAAAAATAATAATAGTAAAATAAAAGAAAAAAGAAAAATACATAAATAATAATAGTAACAACAAATATCATACACAGCTAAAAAACATTGTCAAAAGCTAGAGAAAACAAATGAGTTTTAAGCGAACTCTGAAAAACACCCAAAGTTGGAGAAGTTCTAATAGACAGAGGAAGGGCATTCCAGAGCCTAGGAGCTGCCACAGAGAAAGCACGATCCCCTCTACATTTTAGACGAGATCGCGGAACCATTAGGAGTAGTTGTTCATTTGAGCGCAGAGATCTGCTGGATTGACAGACACTAATTAAATCAGTAACATAGTCAGGTGATAGACCATGCACAGCCTTATAAACAGTTTACATTTACAAACTGTAAATTTACATTTACATTTAGTCATTTAGCAGACGCTTTTATCCAAAGCGACTTGCAAATGAGGACAATAAAAGCAGTCAAA